TAGTCCTATGCTCATATTTCAACTAGTTTTTCAAAGCATCAATGTTCAACTACAGAATCAATTCAACTAAGTTAATCACCGATGCACATAGGTCAACTTGACAAATTAAACAAAACAATAAACGCAAGAGACCAGCCCTATTTCTCATTTAAATAACTTAGACAGTGCCAACAAAATGTAAACCAAAGGAGAATTTACTTTTATTTACTTCGGCACAAATAGGGTTATCTAATTTCAGCCTTCCTTTTCACAAAGCAAAATGATTAAACACTATCACAAAACATATACATAATTTTTCAAATAGCGCGACATTCAATTTCAACTGAATTCAAACTTTCTTTTCAGCAACCAGGCGCAAAAATCAAATACAATTACAAAGCATACGCACAAGCATTCAAAAAAGGGCACATAATTCAATTTCAATTTTCCGTGCAGCAACAAACACAGTGATTAAATATATTTACAAAAGATATGCCGCAGCATTTAAAGGAGTAGATTAAATTCAATTCTTTTAATCACAACCGCTACAAATATGAAAATTTCGCGGAAAACCCAAAAGCATTTTTTAATTTTAATTTAAAGAAATTTTAACAAGTGCTCGACCAAACCAAATCTAATACCCCTTGACAGCGTGATTCAACGCTCCAGGGGGGCCCTAATCTTCCCACCACCAAGTGGAGGGCACACGGCGTGAACCCGAGACCAATAGAGCACAAACCGCTAACAGTCGCCACTCGGGTTGTACGCCTTCACTGAGGCCGTCGGCAACGGAACATTTTGAAAAGTGGAGACTGTTGACGGCTTAAGGCTCAGTGGAGGCGGCCGTGGTGGGAGCTAAGGCGGCAGCTAGCCAGGGCCGCCTTCATCAAATGGGGAACAGTGGTACACCAGTCGTGGCCACTCAGCTAACGGGAGTGAGAAGGGTCCAGCGGACCGATGAATGGCCGTGAAGTTCCTCTCCAAACGCTGAGGGGGGGTTGATGACACCCCCGCCCCTGGGGGAATTACCCCCCGACGGGTCGGGGGAGGGACCCTTTTCGAACCTAGGGGCCTGGTGGCTGGCCGGCGGGCGCCGTGAGTCGCCCGTCAGAGGGCGTGGCTGAGCGCCCCCGCCCGTGGGGGTCGAAGGCCTGGCAGAGCCCCGAGAGGAGACGCCGTTCGCACCCAGGCACAAAACTGCATGGTGCTTGCCCTGGCAATGCAGACAGGGCCGCCGATGCGGACAGTCTCGCTGGAGGTGCCCTCCCAAACATGAGCAGCACCAGCGGCGCTCCTTGGCGATAGTACGCCTCGCCGGAACCGGCTCACCTAATAATTGCGGGCACGACGTTACCCGGTGATCAGATGCTCGACAAGAGCAGGGGGGGGGTTGACGACGACTTGCCTGGCAGATTCAGCCTCTCACTGGGCACGGCTCGTAAGTCGTCAACGGTGCCCGCCGCGTTCTCTATCTGCCGGCACTGCTCCTCGAAAAACCGCAGCAGGTCATAGAAGGGCGGAATATAGGAGGCCTCGTCCCCGCCGTACCTCTCCTCAAAATGGATTCGAAGGTCGAGAGGTAGACGGGACAGCACGATACCGAGCAACCAAAAAAGCCCACTCGCCCACTGGTAAATCCAGCCGCCTCAACGTATTACAGGCCACCAAAACTGGATCCAACAGGTCCGGACGTAGTCTGGCCCGGTCACTAAGCAGCGGGAGGCTTAGAAGCTGCTTAACATGTTCGTCCGCAATTCGCCGGACGTTGGCGTATCTTCTGGCTAGGAGGTCCCGAGCAGTCTAATAGGCGTCGTCCGACAATCTCAAGTGACCGACGACGCCCAGGGCCTCCCCCTCCAGTGAGGCCAGGAGGTACGCCATCTTTTGGCTTGGGGTCAAGTCACTCCGGGCGTCCACTAGGCTGTCGAAAAGACCAACGAAGGTCAGACTAGGCTGTCGAAAAGACCAACGAAGGTCAGCCATTCGGAAAGGACCCCGGAGAACTTTGGCAGGTCCAGAGTTGGGAGTCGTCCTAACAGCTCCGGCTGAAGCTGCTTCCGAGAGGACTTGGACAGGCCACTCATCCGAGCTTCACGCGCCTCCTCGGCATACCTGCCTTCAGTCTCGATCAACTCGTCCGTGAGCGAAAAGAACTGCTCATAGTCCGCGAAGCAGGAGTCCAGGACTCCCTTCTCCACATCCGAATCCTCGAGCTTAGCGTAAGCCTCCTCCACTGCGGCCCTTCGAGCTTCCACCTGCTCGAACCGCTTCATCAAGTTTTGGACCCTATCCGGTCGACCTATCAAAGCATGGGTGCTTGTGGCCTTTTTTTTTTCCACATGGGGAAATGCCTACGCATACCCGCCTCGCGGGGGCAAGGACGGGTTATGTCGGACTCGCACCGACTAAAACCCCATGGCGTTCCAACCCCGTCGCATATTGGCAAGGCCACGGGAACGCCCTCGCACACTTCCGCGGCCCCACCCGCGCCGGCCGCCCCATGGCGGCCCCTCCTCGGGAGAGGACCACTCCTCCCCCATCTCCCTCTCAGGTAAGGCGCACCAGAACACATGGCGCGCCCTCCCCCTCGGCCTCCAATTTCACATGCGCAACGGACGCCCCCGTGTCCGATGCGCGAAGGCCATGGGGCCAGGAAATACTAGCACCCAGAAGCACCAGCCTTCCCGACCCCAGCGGCGGATCTGGTCTCGGGCTCCGCCGCGAACCAAGTTTCGGTTGCGGAGGGTAGGGAGAGCGGCGCCTCGCAATACCGACACTCCTCTCCCCCCGCGGCCCCACCACCACCGCATCAACGGTGCGGCCCCGTTTGAGTCGCGGAGGATAGGGCGAGTGGCGCATCGCCACACCAACACTCCTCCTCCTCCGCGACTCGACCTCGGCTGCAGCGGCAGAGGGTGCGGACTCCCCTCTCACCGCAGCCCACCAACACACATCCGAAGTGGGCTTCCCAAGCCCACTTGGAGTGGCCACCTCGGGCCGGCCCTACACCTCGGGCCAGCCAAGGGGCTCCTCTTTGTTCACCGTGGTTGACCAAGCCACGGCTACTAAGCCCCCCGCCACGACAAGGCGGGAACCCGTTCGGGGGGGGGGGTGCTTGTGGCCTAGCGTAACTCAGTCCGCAGGCAACGGATTAGTAGCTTGGGCGATGACATCACTACTAAATACAAATTACGACGCGGCTCGAGCACAAATTACAAAGATAACAAATAAAAAATACAACAAAAAATTAACAGTTAACAAATGCAGTTCCTATCAAATCGAGTTGAATAGAAATTACACAAATACGAATTACTACTTATCAAACCAAATACAAGTTAGCACAAAAGAGAAGACACAAATCAAATTAACAAATACTAGTGCGATCAAATCAAGTTAAATTCAAATTGCGCAAATACAATTACTACTCTTTAGTTCAAATACAAATTACAATACAAACGAAGATACACCTCACGGCCAATCAACAAAAAATGCCTAGCTCGGAAATCGACCCTTCGATAAGCAATCCACTACAACTATCCGACAACGATAATTAACCGATTACGTGATAATATCCATCTACCTACATGACGTATACCTCTAGAAAAACTCTCGCTTGCGCACTAAAAGGGTGTGGCTTTCAATCTACCCACTAACCAAAAAAAGGCAAGCAACAAAGGAAAATAATTTTATTATTACGTGCAAAAAAAATATTTTTACGTATTACGGACGGGCGTGATTGTAGACACAAAATTAACCCAATCAAACCAACGCTCCCTGCCACCAGAATTGTTTAATTTTTATCAAACACTATGGGCGGGATCGACCGGGGAATCGAACCCGGAACCGCGCTCTGCTACCAGTATGTACACGCTCCTAGATGCCCCAACCAAGGATGACGGGATTAGGGTCCATGAGTAATCCCATCGACGAGCAGCAGAGGGACGGGGCCAGAATATGGCCACGTGGAATTTCCTAATTACAATAAACAATATGGGAGAAAGCTAGAAACACATAGTACTTACCATTATCCGAAGCTAACTTCGCACCAAGGCTTGGGCAGGCCGTGAGTGTGTGTAATAGTGGATGGCGAGTAGTGTACAGTAAGTTGTGAATGTGTGGGGCCTCGGCAAGCATAGGCGACCAGCAGCGGCCGAGTTCCAGGCTGCTCCAAAATGTTGCACCGCTTCAGACTGCTTCGGCGCCGGACCACTTCTTCGTTCGTCACGATGACAGTCCATTAACTCTATCGTACGATTAACTAACTTACAGAAGCCACTAACTCTAATTTGTTATAAAGCGTAACACCCAAAACAAATACAGAATGTCGGTCTATACGAAATCCCGTTACTATAAGCAAAAACGTAACACACCGCACGAGCAATTAATATTGTCAAATCACTTATATACGCTATCAAATTAGAATAACCAAATTCGCGGTAAAATAGGCGCGCCTAATACGCGATTCAGACTTTGACCGCAATCAATGTTAACTTCCTAACAATTTGTATAACCTTCGTCGTGGCAATATCTGCTAACAAAACCGACTCCAAAAATGGAGGTTTCCCGGGCGTCTACAAACGTACTCTCGCTAGCACAGTATTATAGCAACTGTTCGACTCGACCCCGCCGCCGGTAGGAAATAACTCTCTCGCGAACGTCAAACCGGTACGAATGCACCGCGCCGAGCGCCCCCTGGCGTTAGTTCCTGAAATTAGCGTTTGGCGCGAACAATGGATGAAGGACGAAATGTGTTGATCAGAAAATATTTTATGTATTTTATATTTTATAATTATATGGTGATGAAATTGAAAACTTGGAGTCGATATATGTAGAATAAAATGTAAAATAATTTTTAAATTCGGCGACAATATTACTCTAAATTAAACTCCCACTGTTATCCCACTCCTGATGCTCTGCATGCGTCTCAGTCTCTCCAAGCTTAGTTTTCTGAAGGCTTCACTTGTACTGCGTGGGAACTGTAGACATGATTTGTTTAATGACGTGTGTACGCGCACCCGCAGGCATGCCGCTGCCGTACGGGGCGGCGGGCGCGCCGTACCCGGTGTACGCGGCGCCGCTGCCGGCGCTGTACAACCCGTACGCCACGCTGCCCTACCCGCACCACGCGCGCATGCCGCCGCCGCAGCCCTACCAGCCCTACCAGTACCAGCAGCAGCCCTACCAGCAGCCCTACCAGCCGCCGCCGCCCGGCTACAACCCCTACCCGCAACAATAAGCGCGCCACTCTACACGCTACACGCTACACTCCATATCGCCATCTCACTAATTCACCTTCATATTCACACAAAACCGTAACGACGAGTAGCCACTATTTAAAATGTTTCACATAATATTGCACTCTATCACCACCTACTAATTACAAATTTGTGTAAAACACTCTTTGGCCAATTACATAGTTAATTCATAGTTATTGCATAAATTTTACTATTCAAAGACTCAATTGACTTCATTCTAAGACATTGACTTGCAGAGGCGAAACTACTCGTATCTACTATCTAAAATATCCACAAAATAATGCACTCTGTCACTACCTACCAATTACAAATTTGTGCAAAAACACTCTTTCACCGATCTGTTAAAAATCTGGCCTATGTTCAGCAGTGAACTATTTACAGGCTGCAATGAATCAACGCTCTGACTTTAAAAATGGTGACACCGTCCTTTAACCAGTCACTACATTAATGTGTGCTAAGCTTTACATATCTAATATAGATAAATACAGTCTATGGCGAAGTTGAAAATATTTTTTAAATAATTACAAGCAATACTCAAGAAATATCATTCATGGAGTGGTGCTAAAGTTAACAACCGCATTTGTGCTCGCTCGTCGCTTTTATCACAATTTTTACCAAAGCTATAAAACAAAACTCCAAACCATAGTTCAGTGCACACTTGGAGTCGCATGAGATACTCTCCTGCCATATTTTTAAAATTATATAAATACTTAAAAATTCTTAAAAAATATTTTTAAATTATTTCAAAACACTGTTAAAATGCATGTCATAATTAATTGCTTGCGGTCAATTTAATATATATCAAAATTTGGTTACGGGAATAAATAATATTAAATAAGCGTAAAAAAAAGAATTCTTAAGATTCATAATATCATTGTAGATAAGGGCTTTGTATCCACGCTTAAACATAAGCTAGAAGCCGTTATTAATATGCGAAGGATTATAAATTATAATTATTGTTAATGCATTTTATATTTAGAAACTTAGAAACTAACTTGATATAAAGATATAATGTAGAAAGTTGAAAAGAATTTAAAAAAAATGGTGACTAACATACAAGGAAATTCAGCTTTGTCTTGTATTCGACCTTCTCATAGAATGTGAGACTGCAATTGGATAGTTGACACCATTATTAATAGTATTCATCACAAGATTTAAATTTACCTACTCCTTTTTAAAGTCTCAAAACTTAGTTGATTTATATTTTAAGTTAAATTAAATTTTATAGTTAAAAAAATATACAAACAAATACAAATGTTTGAGTACATGAAATTGACGCCATTTTCACGAACACCCATACAATTTCTATCAGAAAGTTTCATTTTGACAGCTCTTTATGTTATGTATCTCAAAGAACATGCGTGTCATCTATCCTATTGTTTATAATAAATAATTATTTATGATGCTCAAAACAAATCGACGTGCATATAATTATTGTTATAAATATATGAAAATATTCTAAATGTGATACAGTACAGGGCTGATCGTTGCCAGTGTGGCTAGAATTGATCTATCGGAGGTTTATAATGTTGTAAAGAAAATCTATGTAATACAATTAATTACTAATTTGACCACTTGTACGCGATGGAAGCGGTTACAAACGTTCGCATGTGAACCCACGACACATATAGCGTCGTAAATTACTGCATAATTGAGTGTTTTTATTTTATAGTCTGTATGAGCTGTGATTATGCCTTATACACTTGTATCTCAAAGTGAATACGTTTCAATTTTGTAATTTTAATTTGTAATCTGATTTTAACCGGCGGTGCTGTATAGGTGCCGCTCGGCCTCTTACACTGATAGCATTCGATAATTTTATACAATTATATTTATTTAAAGTGGGACACACGCATAATGGCCACTGTCCCTGTCTCTTACCAACATTATGCTAATATGTTGTCATTATTATTATTATATAAATTGTAGTAAATAAATATGTTTTTTATCAAAACTTCAAAGTCTTTTATTTACCAACTGATTAAGTTATAATTCATTTTTATGAACTTTATAATAATCATGCCCTCCAGACAGAGTTTCGGACAGGGCGGCCAGCCTCAACAGAGACTAGCCATCGACGCAGGACAGGATTATAGTGCCCGAGTGTATGCGCAAGCACAGGTGCACTCTCTTTTCCCTCGTCCTAATAGTCGGATGGGAAGGCAATCCGACACGACGGGACACAGATCAGGCGCAGGACCAACGGCTTTACGTGCTTTCCGAGCCACGGGGGTGAACCACCGCCAGCTTTCTGACTCCAAGCTGCTACTGAGAATTTCTTGAGAGAAAAACCTAATATCTGATTTTGGTCCGACCCCGGATTCGAACCCGTGATCAGCAATCACACTTATAATAACTAAACCAATGAGACAGTAAAAAACTCGGGGCTTCTACGGTTCCTGCGGCGCCACCTTTTAAAGGCGGATTCGTATAAATCTCGATGAGATGAGTAATTCCGTTTAAGAGTCCTCTTACATTTCGGCGTTTCGCAAATTTAGGTAGTTTACGCACCGAGCGGGCGGCGAGCTACGCGACCGATACTTTCTTTCATATCTATTCACTCGCTCGCACTATGATACTGTGAGTGTGGCGATTAAACGATCTTGATCTTCCATAATACAACTTTTCTTAGGATGGACTTCAGTGGATGGAATATTTTATTGGTGTGTCATTTTAATGTTATCTTATTAATTATATACTATTTTGATATATTTTTCATTATTTAAGAAATATTTATATATTAAGGTATTTGAAAGGGACGAAGAGAGAACGAAGTGTGAAATATGGGTAAATCAGGAATGTCTAGAACAGGTAAATGAAATTGTATACTTGGGGAGTGCTTTTAGCCGGGATGGAAGATGTGATTTAGATGTGGACAGGCGTGTCGCTGCCGGGAACAAAGTCAATGGTGCCCTGACTGCGTTAGTCAAAAGGCAAGGCGTAGCGAAGAGTGCACGCCTTGCAATACATAACGCAGTGTTGGTACCGACTTTGTTATATGGCAGCGAAACCTGGGTATGCCAGAAGAAGCATAAAAGTAAGTTGAATGCAGTGGAGATGCGATCTCTTCGTAAAATGTGCGGCGTTACCATGGCCGACCGAAAGCGAAACGAAGAGATTCGCAATATGGCAGGTTTGAAAGATGACCTTATCACAAAAATTGATAAGGGCGTGCTTCGGTGGTTTGGGCACGTTGAGCGAATGAGTGAAGACCGAATGGTGAAGAAAATATATAGCGCGAAAGTTAATATTAAAAGGTGTCGAGGTAGACCGAGACTAACTTTCGAAGACCATGTGAGCAAATTGCTCGAAGAGGGTAGGGTCAAAAGTACTCGGATACCTAGACGTGCATGCATGAAGAAGATAATGAATCTGAAAGAAGCGAAAGAGGTTTGTAAGGATCGTGACACTTGGCGATCTGTTCTCTCTGGCTACCCCGTCAGGGATTGTGCGTGAAGATAAGTTAAGTTAAGTTATTATTTAAGAAATTTTGTGACAAAATTAGTACATACAAATATTTTAAATGTTACGCAGTAATCGAATGTTAATAATCGATTATGTCTACTACCGGTAGAATAGTGGTATAAATAAATAAATAGTACGATTGCAACCTGTTTTAATAACTAAAACAACCAAATGTAACTAATATTTTTTTAATCGGTACTGACAGTCAATTACCATATTTTTTATAAGAAAAATATTTGCTGCGACGGCATTGACTGCACTTTTCTCGAGTCGATAATTTCAGGCAGTATACACTTTTCATAAAAAGCTTGTAACTTAGGTAACATATTGAAAATCTAAAATTGGTCGTCTTTGTAAATTTTTAGTACTTTTACTGCACAGTCTAGGCCAGTACATATTATGGCAAGTATTCAGACATTTTTATTTGCTAAATGAAGCTGTTCTTGGATTTTATAAAACCAGTCATGATTTTGATTTAATGTTACACTTGAATCATTGAATTTATAACCTTTAACTTTTTTTTGGTCGAAAGACCGTGTCAAAATCTATTTCGAAAGCTGAAATAGGACATTTAACTTCAATAAGACCGTCACTGTATAAACCATTAGGTGAAGCCTTCAAATAACAATGATCTAGGTCAATGAATAGACCACATTTTTCTATAATAATATTTTCTTGTTTGCTCAATTGTGCCAATGCTACAGACTCGTTGCCCCTACCATGTTTGATGGAAGAGACGTGATCTAAATTATAACTATATAAAATAGTTTTAAAACGATCGATCAAAAACTGCGGTCGTAGTTGACGATGCTCTAGCACGCAGACAATCGACGCACACTACGAAGCAATCGACGCACACTACGATAGTATCGAAACGATACAGCGCGCGAAATCAACTGACGCAGGTCCAACCTCGACAAGCGCTCGCGCGATATTGATCGCAGATGGCCGGCGCAATGAAATATATGGTACTATTATTTAATTAATTAAAATATAATAGTAACAATTTAAAAAGTAAAAATAATAGTATAGTTTAAGCAAATGTTGATGATTATTTTGGTATAAATTTTACGTCTAAATGATGTAGAACTTCGGATATGTTGAGGCCTGTTTCGAAGCTTTTTCGGTCGTTTTTTGAATTATGTCGATTTTATTTTCCTAGCATGGAAGGCATATGACGAAAATGTATTCTATAATTATTAAAGTGTAGAATAATATAATAATAGAATCTACAAATCATGTCTTCGAGAGTTTTTGCCTAAACATGCATCGGGAGAATGATTATTACTGAATAAATAAATAAGTTATCTAAAATTCGCTTTGAGCTTATTTGAGAAGAGAAAACGAACTATTTTTACCAAGTAATTTTTATTTCAAGCAACGAACTGTAAACATACAATTTCAACGAGGATATCTTGTAATTTCGCGTTTTTTTTTTTGTAATATGCCTCTTAAAGACCCTTAAAAATCCACCCTAGGGTGGATACTTGGAAACGCGTGTTCATCTATCCACCCC